AATTGTAGATTTTCGTTTCCCTGCTTATTTGTTTTCTTTCAATGAACGCAAATTTCATTCACAATAAGGGTAAACAAGTTTTTCAGAAGTGATTGTAGTGTATTGCTATCCCTCCTTCTACTTCTGGAAGTTCATGCTTCAATTCTAAGGACACATAAGCAGTACACATTCTTCTGGTGCTTCCCAGCCTGTTAGAATCAGGTAGCTTATCACTTTCTAAATGATTGGCAGTATTTTAGTTTTGTTTTGTCAACAAGTGTCCTGAGTCCAAGTAATCCTAAGGAGGAAGGCCAGAGAGGAATCACAGTGATGGCGGAGTGTGCTGACCTGCTCGAATATCCACAATTGTAGCCAAGGCAGGAGGACCCAGGCAGGAAAGTGAGGGCTAGGGAGGAAGCCTTCCAGCCCCTAGTTACTGAAAATTTTCTGCACCTGCTGTGAGCCTGGCACTTCTAGATCGTTGTGATGCTGCTTTTGGTCTTTGAGTGAGCCTTTGCCCACTGCTCTGTGAAAATGCATAGGCTGGACTGCCTTAGAGCCTAGAGCCTTTTACCTCTAATGCACTAGGACCCTACACTGGTGCCATACATTATTCTGTTGTCAGTCCCCAAAGTAATGGCACCTCTTGTTCCTCTTGTAAAAACAAACAAAAGTCTGTCTGGTCCTTCTCAGCCTGAGTGCGCCTAGCCCACTCCCTATGCCCAAGTCCCAGCCAGGAAGACTCCAGATGGCAGAGCAAGACCTGAGCTTCCCTGAAATTTAGGCTGGGGAGTGGGGAAGAGGCTGCCGCGTCCTTGTTCTGAGTAGCCTGCAAGTTCTTACTCTTCACACCTTTGTGGGCATTACACTGAGTACTCTCTCTTACCCTCAACCGATAATTCTTTTGCTTTAGGACTTTTTATTTACTTACCTGGTTATGTTCAGGACACTTTATAGGATGATCCGTAGTTGAAACCCAGTGAACAAAAATATGGTAAAGACTGTAACTAGAGATTCTATGTACCTCTAAGGAACTAAGTTTAATTAAAGCCTATGAATACAGTTGCATTTATAAATGCGTTTGGGGTATATGCCCTTTACCTAAAGTACCATCTCCAGCAAGGAGGTGAAGCAGTGGTCAATTTTATTCCATTTACGGCAGATCCTCTGTAACCATTTCTTTTTTTACAAATAACTATCTCCTAATGCCCAGAATCCAGCCCACACAATCCTTGACTAGTTTCCAAAACCGTTGGCTGTAGCTTCTGTAAAGATTGACACACAATCTCTGCTAGAAAAAGCCCTCCCCAGATAAAGCTACTGGATTGCCGATGCCAAAATAGGAAGTTCCTCATTTTCACACGATGGGTTACTTAAATATTTAGTTACTGCAGTAACTTTATAGAGAAATAATGTTAGAGTAGTTTAAATAGTCAATAGTCAACCCAAGGGTCTTTCAGTTCTGATTCTACCTTCTTGTGTTTGGGTGGCTCTGAATAAATGGCGGTATTTCAGTATTTTAATTACTTATCTTTTAAAAATGGACATTTATTTCATGGAGCCAAAGAAATAGCCATTAAAAACCTGATTTATTGTATCTTAAAAATCGTTGTTAGAAAGTTTCACAATAAGGACAGTCTTGGGGGAGGGGTCAATTTTTCAATATCTGCCAACATTTTAAATGCACCTATCTGTTGACTCAGCAATTCTTCTTCAAGGTATCTAGACCTACACAAGCCTAACAAAAATGTACACAGACGTTCACTGCAGTACTGTTAGGAATAGCAAAAAATAGGAAGCAACATGAATGACCATCAGTAAAAGTACGATCAAATATATCATGGGGTATCTATCATACCACGAAATGTCACTTATGTTTGAACTGTGTGACTAAAGAGAAAAAAAAAGTACATCATAAAAATTTACAAGAATCTCTTTAATCCCTTTTCACTGATTTCCTCACCACTACTTTCAGTCTCCACATACCTCACGCCACCACGTAAAGGTCTATCATAATTCCTCATCTTATTCCAGATCTATATTACCACTTCCTTTTTCAGCAGGTGACCGATAAATACAGAAGGTTCAAACCAATGGACATGCCTAGAGGCCTAAGTGATTAAATTTCCTCCTGGTAGATATGATTTCAGACTGAAACCCACTGGAAGGTGGGGCTATATATTCTGGAGTGTGGCTTGTTAAGTTATGCCTGTCATTCTTTGTCCTGTGCCATGGTGTATCGTTAAATAGCAGCATTCCTAGAACAGGGCCACATTTTGCCTTATTACTGCAGGGAGCAACTTGGCTTAGACCCAGGGAACTTCCCAGGTTCCGGCGAGTGTTAGCACTGCTGTTCACGTCTTTGCTATGAGGCGGACAAGAAATGAACCAGCTTGCATCTTTTGTTGCATAGGTATCCAAACCGTTTCCTGGCTTTTACATTGTTTTAAAAGCATTTCAAGAATCATTTTAAAATGACAAAGCACAAATATGAAAAAAACTAAACATAACCTACCACAACTTATTAAGCAAGCTAATTACTGGCCAATGGTTCACACTTGAGCAGCAGCTAATCCTGATTTAAACTGTATTGAATTTGTGCGAATTTACAGTGATACCATCATACACAAAAAGTAGCTGGCTGGTACTGAAAAAGAGCTATTTCAGGCCCTTTCAGAAGGCCTGTTGTACCAAGCAGACCTAGATTTGAACTTCTGTCACAGTTTGTGATGCCAAGCAAGGGAGTTGGCCACACTTTCCATTCAAAAATTTCCATCTTGTCTTCCCAGTGCAGTTTTCAATATAGCCAGATACTACCCTACCGTCTAAGCAGTACTTACAATCCCCCAGGCACTGAGGGAAGTATCTGAACAGCTTCTGTCACACAGGCACTTTCCATCATTATCATTTAAGTCTTACCCCTGTGGTGCACAGCACACACAAAAAATTTCTTTTCAGACTTCACTCTAAGAAAATTAATAAAAACAGAGCAAGTATCAACACCTGATGGAAGATCATGAGAACGATTACAGGCACTAACCAGCAACAGCTCCCAACCCTTTAGGAGACAATTACTTTGGTTAAGTGTTAATCAGTATGCTGATTTTATATCAATTTTTAAAATACAGACAACTTAAGTTTATACTGTTTAATCTTTTGATGTTAAAATCTTTATACGCCATAGTGCTGTAACTATTTCTAAACATTAAAATAGTTCCTATGCATTAACTTAAAAAAAATGTTATGCCTCCCACCTCCATTTATTTGAGTTTTGAACATCCAAGTTTCAGGGTATACTGTTGAAAGAGTAAACAGAGCTAGTATGTTTTCAGATTGAAAAGGGATTTTGTCCATGTCTTCCTGTCAAGATCTGAATCCAGTTAACCCAAAAAAACCTGTTCCCGCTCTCAACATCTTAACAGTAGCTGTCACAAGACACCCACTGAAGTTCCTTGAGGCAGAATTCATTTTAACTGGATCACCTACTAGCAATAAACAATGATTCTTTAGCTACGGCAAACTTCCATGTAAATGAGAGGTAACTACTTGTTCCTCTTGACTAAAAATCTGATAAATTTTGACACACTTTCAGCCCCTCTACTGCGGTCCTCTCCTTTAGCTTAGAAAACTTAAGTTTAGATTTATAATCACTATTCCTGCTTTTTACTTACATGTGCCTTGCTTTAGAAAACTCTTGTTTAATCCAGTAGTCTGAAAGCAAAATTAGTTTTTCCTGATGTAAACAGCAGCCTATGAGAACACATGGAATGTTTCACAAAAATCTTTATCAGCCCATTAACCTATTTACAAGGGTAAAGTGAGTATTTTTTAAGGGATAAACTTTGCCCGCCCTTACACTTATTTAAATGATGTTGCTAAGAGGTATTAACTGAGAATAAGATTAAAATATGTATATAACAAAACCTTAAAATCTTAAGTGAAAGCCATTTAACTAATATTTAAAACCTCTGCAATTATTAGTTTATTAGTATCATCCAGGACTCAGATGTTCAGTATTCCTCCTGAAGTTACATAAAACAAATGCAAATGGAAAGAATCCAAGTCAAAATTATATAACAAAACAGCACTCCATCACAAAAGCGTGTAAAATTACAAGAACGCTATTTTAAAACACTGGCACTTTAAGAGAACGATAATCTCAAAAACCACAAAATTGCCAAATTGTTCCCTAAACTGTTAAGCAGATAAACATATGACCCTGATGAATGAGCTTGAGTTTTGTAGAGAAAAATCAAATTCAAATAAATCAGGTAATTCACACTGAAATACAAAGCTTGTCTTCCTCCCTCATGTCTATTTCACTTATAAAGGGGCAAACCATAATATAGGAAAATATACCCGATTTAAAATGTGGTATACAATTTTAAAAGTTGGCCCATTAAAAATACCTTTAATGGAGGATCTCAAGTTTCCTAAACAATCCGCATTTAGATAAATAGGAGAAGACATTTACAGCCAGCACTTTTTCTCCAGAGCCTTTGTTGGGACTAATATCAACAACAAAAACAAAAAGTAATATGGCAGTCTTGTATTTTAAGCTCACGCTTTTGGGGATACATTCTCAGTCTTAAACGTGGGAACTGCAAATATAACTGCCATTACATGGTAATGGGAGTTAAAGGATGTAGAGTCCTCATGTAAAGATTAGAACATACTTTTCTATTAGTCCTTCAAGGACAGACTTTCAAAATGTTTGGTTCTAATAATCCCGTGCTGTGAATAGATTGGTTACTCTTCACTTTGTAAATGAACCTGGGCTATGTGACATCTGATATCAACCGATCAAGATTTGAGTTTCAGTTATGGATGAAAACTGTCTCAATTAAACTTTTATTACCCTCATCATGAGTATGCAGGGTGTGTACACAAAAGCTTTTTATCAGCTAACTATACGAAAGATAAACACTGTAATAATTCGTGTGATCCAAAATGGGCAAAAGCAAAAGACTAGCTTCCCCTTAAGAAGAAAATTTTCAGACCTATGAAAAGGACAACAATACTAATAAAAAAAATTGTATTTACTTAGAAGCATTCAGAATGTCAACAAAACAGCTGCAACTTTTCTTTTTTTTGCAATTACAGAGTGGTATTCAGTTAACAGAACAACAATTATTTCGTATAAGCTGCATCAGAGACAACTGAAGATGAAAAAACTACCATCCCCATATATAACTAATTTGTGCTGTGCACCAACAAGAACCTGCTTTAAATTTCCATGCCAATTTACAACCCCCATACTGTACCAGGCAAGGTTAGTGGCTATTGAAAATACCACCAGGACAGGGCTATCTAAAGACACATTCGGTAGTGTGTTAACTATACAAAAAAAGACACTGTACAGTTTAAAAACAAATCTTACACAGCCTTACATTTCAATTTTTTTCTTTAAAAGGAGTGAGTTGTGTACAGGGGGGTTAAATGCTTTATAGACAAGAAAAAAAAACTGCGCTGGAACCGACTTATTCATCATCATCATCTTCTTCCTCCTCCTCATCCTCTTCATCCTCCTCCTCCTCCTCATCTTCCTCATCTTCCTCATCTTCCTCCTCCTCCTTCTTTTTCTTGCTTTTTTCAGCCTTGACGACTCCCTTTTTTGCTGCATCAGGCTTCCCTTTAGCTCGGTATGCAGCAATATCCTTCCAAAATAAAGGCAGGAAGAAAGTGGTTGGAAAGACAAAACAGTTAAGGAGAGAAATAAAAGTCACATGGCAAAACTTTATGAAAAAACAAGGACTCAGATACACTAAAATAACACATTATCTGCACTCACATCTGTGGACTTTCAGAAACACACGTAAAAATATCATAATTGTAAATAATCCGTAACTCATGGAATGACACGGTTTGACATTAGCATTGTTATGCCTCACTGAAGTACAACCATGTACCACATCCTAAGTTCAGTTTATTAAAACTAGAACATAGAGACTGATTAAAGGGTAGACACTGCCACCTTCTGAATGCAAAAACGCATTCTACAGGTTTATACTGTCAGACCCTAATCCATAGTAGAAAATCTTGTCTTAAAAAAAAAAAAAGTTATTTGCCACCGAACATGCAATTAGGTTAAGAAACATTTAGAAATAGATACATTTCTCCAAAATGACTAAATAAGCTAAACTCTAACTTTACTTTTAATATTTCAACTCAAAGTATAGAGGCTACAGCTTTTTATTTTATTATATCAATTTACTGTACAGATCAACAAACTCATAACTTTCTTAGTAAAGTTTTTTTTTTTTTTTTAAATCTAAGGGAGGGAAAACATAAATGTTTCAGGGTGTTTATGAACAATACAGATCTACGTTACTTGGTCCAGCCCATTTTTATGTTGTGTGCCTGATCATTTAAAATACTTAAATCATTTGACTCAAAGTGACTACCAAAATCTTCATAAATCTGGATACTGGAGAACAATAAAACCACCCAAGTCAAATAATGTTAAGTCAAACAACACTAACAATTTATTTGATCTTCTACGTTCTTTAAAACATGGAAAGGGACTTAAGAGTACAGCCAATGGCACACTGAATAGCTGTTATACTTAAAACTGCATTACACCTCAAACTCTTAGGAATCATAATAGGAGATTAAGATGCAGTACCAAGTATAGTCATTCATCTAACATCTGACATACCCTTTCATCACTACACCAAGCCAATCCATACTTACCTTTTCGTACTTTTCCTTCAGTTTGGCAGCCTTCTTCTCATAAGGCTGCTTGTCATCTGCAGCAGTGTTATTCCACATCTCTCCCAGTTTCTTTGCAACATCACCAATGGATAGGCCAGGATGTTCTCCTTTGATTTTTGGACGATACTCAGAGCAAAACAAGAAAAAGGCCGAACTAAAAAGAGAGATTTAATTTTAGAATTGTAGGTTTACTAACAACTGTGTCGTACTGCTGTATAAAAGCTGCTTCTAATTTCTACCACATATTTCACAGGATATAAATATTATGAAACGCTAAATATCCCTCATTAAACTTAATTTACACAATGATCTAACTTATGACACCACTAGCTGAACATACACTACTTATTAGCGTTCCAAAAGAATATCCTGCAAATTACTCTCAGACTGATGGTATTTCTCAGGAAAGAAAAGAATCAAAATTAAAATTACACTTAGGAGATATATTGGGTGAAGGAGGCCAGAATCCAATTCCACTGCTCTAACTAAAACTGCCATCCAACAGGAATTTTATTTACAAAATTTAAACATACCAATGTGAGTTAGCGAAGAAACTTTGATTACGGACTCCACAAGGTGGCTTGCTAAATTTGTCTGATTCTACTGCAAAACACTCCTTGAAAATAAAAACGGGCAAGATACTTACGGAGGCCTCTTGGGTGCATTGGGATCCTTGAACTTCTTTTTTGTCTCCCCTTTAGGAGGGATATAAGTTTTCATTTCTCTTTCATAACGGGCCTTGTCCGCCTTTGCCATGTCTTCAAACTTTCCTTTCTCTTTAGCAGACATGGTCTATAAAATAATAACTCGTAAACTTAACTCGACAACAAAGTTTTAACAAGTTGTACTCTTAAGTATTAAAATGAACAAAACCAGTGTCCTTTGCTGAATATTTAGCAGCCTGTTCCAAAACCACCACTCACATCATGCAAATTGTACCGAGGCTTTTTAAAAATCCCAGTTTGGACTTCACCCTTTAGTACCTCCTTAGTATTTGTTTTAAGCCCTCTTACCTTCCACCTCTCTGAGCACTTCTTAGAAAACTCTGAGAAGTTGACGGAAGCATCTGGGTGCTTCTTCTTGTGCTCCTCCCGGCAAGTTTGCACAAAGAATGCATATGATGACATTTTGCCTCTCGGCTTCTTAGGATCTCCTTTGCCCATGCTTAATTATTTTTCTGAAAAATAAATGAAAGCGTAGTGTTAACAATGAAATTTACGGCATTTAAGAGCACACTAACTCCTTGGGGAGAAAATGAAAAGCAAGGAACTGGTTGTTTAACCCGGCAGTGGCATTAACCCCTCATAATACCAGAGAAAATGGCAGTGATAGTCAATTCCTAGAAAAGGCTACACCAGGCGATCCTTGAGTGTGATCTCCAAAAAGTGGACACAGTGGTATACTCACACGGCGCTTGTTACTTCGCTGCCTGTATCTGTTCTGGGTGAATACCCAACCGGTCATTTAAAAGAAACGAAGAATTAAATGCAAAAAAACCCGTTTTCAATCAACAAAACCAAAGGTCAGAAAAGCGACGCTGCCGATTCACGGCTCTGCGCTACGTAAGGAACAATTAGGTGAGAGCCAAAGCGGGCAGACCTCTCCGGATCGCAGGCCAAGTCCGCGGCTCACCTAAAGCTGTCCCAGGGATCACTGTAAATACTCTCGGCATAAAAGTTTGCCGGGGGGAGGGAGCGGGAGGCCCGCTCGGGCCCGGGCTGGGGGATGGCGGCGCTATCTGCGCGGCTGCCACCGCCAGGCAGCTTCCTTTGCTATCGGCTTGGCCTCGAGACGCATTTCGGTTCTGACTAAACACGTCCGGTCTGAAGTTTCTTCGAGTAAACAAGGATGAGGGACAAAAGCCACTCCTGCTCGCTGCTCGGGCTGCCCCCCGCCCCCACCAGGGCAGTATTTTTTTTCTGAGCCGTGGAAGTCGGGGCGACGCGCGGGGCGGGCTCCGCACACCTTCCCGCCACCGGCCCCCCGCCCCGAGCCGCCCGCCCACTGCGGGGCCGCGAGGGGAGGCCGCCCGGGACGGCG